GATGGTACCATTGGAAATCTCTTCGCGGTTTATGTTCTCTAGACATAATTCACGTTTTTTTTTCAGATAATTCCCTTGTTTGATCCTGATGAGTCATTTCCAGAGGAACAGTGAAGAATCGAATCATTTTATCCCTTTCAGAGCGTCAAGAACAACTAAATATACAACAAAACCTGCCCATGTTTCTCCGATGCTGCTGAAGTCAATGACATATCGTGCCCGGTGTCATGGCGGCGTAGGTACCGTTGCTATAGGGTCACGTGACGGTGCAAAGCCTCTATAAATACAATGATGAATGAATTAATCATTTGTACAAAAGCCAAACATGCACATGAGAGCAGAGCGTCCTACTCTGTCTGTTTATATCATCATCATCTGCCCTGTCCACAGTGACAGGCCTGAGATATTTAATTTTTGTTATAAAAGTCAATACAACATTTGACAGACAAAAGTCAGGATCTCTTGTTCTTATCTTCTTTGGTTCTACAGATCATGACCAGACTGTTGGGTCCATTATACTACTGTATATATCATGCTCCACACTGTAAACTGAACGGACACTGAGTAATAATAATAATATAATATAATATCTCTGACATAACATGAGCCCAGAGCCGCAAAAGTGCACCTCTGTAAATGCTTAGATTTGAAAAAAGAACTGTCCACCCCAGGTTTACACAAACAAGAGCTTCTACTTACTTTATAAACGTTTATTAGAAAACTTCAGAATATATTTAGGTCCCTCAGTAGTGACCTAGAAGTTTACTGGGTCATTCCACTACTCTTTTGTTTACTCTTCTTTTTGTTCGTGGATGTTGTGCAGAGCTTTTTCACATTTTGACTTTTGATTTGTCCAGTAGTGTTGAATTTTTCACACTGGATCCTGCGTTCTGTTGATCGATAAGTCTAAACCAGGGGTGGGCAAACTGCGGCCCTTTAAACCTTTTAATCCAGCCGCCGAACTGGAATAAATTACAATAATAAACCTTGTTGATGTTTTATTTTTCCTGCATTTCCGGCATTTCCCAGTAGATGGCGCACTATATATACATTGAGGTGCGGCGTATTATGTTGGCTGCAGTGCTTTACGGGAAAGTGTTTTACAGGAGTCATTTTTGGGCAGCGTATTTGGACCATGAGTGAGGTAGAAGTGTTCAAGACATAACGCTGCACTGTTTCCAATTTGAGTGAGTAAACAGCAAAGACAAAAGACTTAAAGATGCTGTGTTAGAAGTTTTAATGCATGTAACATCGTAAGAGTTTGGTTCTACTGTATGTGTGGATGTGTATGTGTGTAACTTTGTGGCGTGGGATCTGTTTTTCAATGAGATGATGTCACGATTCATGTTTGCCTGTGGTGTGCAGTGGAGCAGCTCTAATCACTTTACACGTGTTCTGAATCTTATGTGTCAAAGTTGTAGGGCAGGAGTGTCAAACTCATTTTGGTCCGGGGGCCGTATCCAACCGACTTTGATCCCAAAGGGGCCGGATCAGAAAACTCATGTCATATAAACCCCAAAAATAACAATAAGTTCAAATATTTCTGCAGAGAAACACAAATCTATTACAGAAATCTTTTTTAATTGATGAACTCTTTCATTTACAAAATATTATAATATTATGAACGACCTCAAACTTTAAGAAAAATACAATTTCAACACAACGTTTTAACAGGAACTTGTTTAACATTAACTTGTATAAATAGGAATAAGTCAATTTTTCTTGTAAAATCCTGCACTCGGCTCCACTTTTCTCATGTTGGACATTTTTCTGATGAGGGTGTCACGGTCAACAGTCAAAACGATCGTCCTTTAAGAGCGTTTGGAAAGAGACAAGTCTTCATTTGTGCTGCTCTGGTGGGAGGGGCCACGTACAGAGACGCTGGACACACTGATATGCTCAGCACCACAGAAAATTAACTATATTTTAATAAAAAATAGAATTAAAATATTTTAGTAGAAAATCAGCCGAGGGCCAGATTAAAGGTCTTGGAGGGCCGGATCTGGCCCTTGGGCCGCATGTTTGACACCTGTGTTGTAGGGCATAGTGCGCGTCCTACATGAGTGTAAATACGAGTGCAATGGAGTCGGGCTCTTAACACGTCATGTCCTGTCTTCTGTCTGGCCCTTCAGTCAAATTTTAGGACCCTATGTGGCCCGCGAGCCAGAAAGTTTGCCCACCCCTGGTCTAAACACACTTCTCCTTCCCCTCCGACAGTAAACAGAAGTGGGACGAGGACGACTTCGAGGGGGAGATGGAGGACGACTTCGACGACGACCTGGCCGAGGAGGGTCTGCCCACGGCCCAGGAGGCGGTCACCCCGGGGAAGGGCATCCTGCTTTTACCCCACCGCCAGCTCCACCCCCACGCCCAGCTGCTCAAGGCCCGGCCCAGCGTGGAGCAAGAGGCCCGCGTCGCCATCCTGCCCCCCCACGCCACGCACAGCCACCTGGGGGCGCAAGACCACGGCGAGTGGACCTACGAGGAGCAGTTCAGACAGGTAGGATCCTCATGCCCCCCTGGCCTGCTCTTTGAGGCTGTGTTATCGGCATGCACTCTTGGCTGTACATGCCCCATCAAAGCCACTGTATTTAAACCACCGACTGTGAAAAGGGAGTGTTACGTCATAATTACAGCATGGAAATGTTCACGCCGTTGCAGCTGCATTAGGAGCCTTTTTGTATCTTTAACTTCAAAACAAAAGCAGATTATGTTGAAAATAGGCTTAAAAATGCACTTTGTAATATGTATTGAATATTGCTGGCAGGATTTTATGTTAATAGCTTAAAAATTACTTGGTAACTAAAAATGTATTTATGGTAATTACATGCAAATCTACTATATTTCATGATAGTAAGACTAATCCTAAATAATATTAGTAATAATCTGAAAACATAGTGGTAGAATGCATTTAAAGGAGCACTATGTAACTTTCTGTTGGAGGGTCTGTCATGTTTTAGTCTCTTTATAAGGATATTGTCGTGATGCTAAATTTGGTGACACAGAGTCGATATCGTGGGCTGTTGTATCGATACGTCGCCATATATCGAGTATTTTTTGGTGTCTTTTAGCATTTTTTTCTGCACTGCAGTTTTGTTGCTTATTCAGTGGAAGTAAAGTTGAAGCTGAGTGAAAGTTTCTCTGCGTGTGTCATGAGTCTGTGCTGCTCTGGGCTTATACATTATTATTATTTATATCTTATTTTTGGTGACTTTTATTTAGGGGTGTGCAAAAAATTACAATATTGATGTATGGTATCGTTTAATGTGATGATGCAGTATCGGTATCGCGGGCTACTGTATCGATATATCCCTAAGAGTATTTTTTGCTCTACAGTTTTGTTGCTTGTTTAGAGGAAGGAAATGTGTTGTGTGACACATTTGACATTTTCACTGTTTTGATGATTAAAATGTTTGTGTTTCATTTGAACTTTGCCCTAGAAGTGATTTAACGAAGACTTTTGGTGATTAAGCTTTTATTTTTATTGAACCATATCAAATCGATTTGAAGTATATTGTATTGAACTGAAGTTTCTCTGTATCGTATCGTGATCTGTGTATCGAGGTGTGTATCGTATCGTCAACTTCTTAATGATCCCGGTGGACAGAGACGTGCACATCCAACAAAAATTACCACTGTGTTCTGGATCCAAAGAGAAAAATAGTACAAAAAAAGGAAAGAGATCCACACTGCAGTTCTATGAAGCTCCCACATTTTTATTATTTCAATGGCACCACAATGTGACGTTTCGGGTCGAGTCTTTCTTCAAATATGAAAGCTTCAGTTCTAAACCTGATATAAATAGGCCCAGGTCCAGTCACCTGACCCACCGTGTGACCCACGACAAGAAAAGAAAAAGGTTTTGATTACAATGGTTGAATGGAATAGTGTATTGATTTACCACAGCTAGAAGTATTTACACGAGTTACAGTTTATATACAATAAATAAATAAATAAATACATAAAAATAAAATTTAAATAATAAAATTAAAATTAAGAATAAATAAATTAAAAATAAATTATAATAAAATAAAAAATAATCATAATAAAATTAAAATTAAGAATAAATAAATAAATAAATGAAAATAAAGTATAATAAAATAAAAAATAAATATAAAAATTGTATATTAAAAAATTTATTTAAAAAAAATAACTAAAATTAGAAAAAAAAAAATAAATAAACATTAAAAAATAAAAATGTATATTTAACAATTAATAAAAAATGTATATGTATATAAAAATAAATACATATACATTTAAATAAAAAAAATAAAAAAAAAAAATTTAATTAGAAAAGTGTAAATAAAATTAAATAAACAACACATTGTGAAATCATTGGGGGAAAAAAAAAAATGTTGGAAGCTTCAACTGGAAGTGCAATTAAACTTCTTAATGATCCCCAGTTCTGTTCATGACATCACAAGGTGGAGCGGAGCATTTTGAGCTTTGGAGATGAAGTCAGACTAATAATAAAGAGTCACTGAAACATAAACTTCTTAGGTTCTTTTTAAAGACAATGCAGTAAAGTGTATTTACCTTGTTGACCTGTTTCGGCTGCTAGCTGCAAGCCATCTTCAGCCGAAACATGTCAACAAGGTAAATACACTTTACTGCATTGTCTTTAAAAAGAACCTAAGAAGTTTAAGTATATAAGAAGACAAAATGAACATCATTGGCTTAGTCACTGAAACATGTGAATGAAACAAAACACAAGTCGAGGTCTGTTTTTGACGAGGAAACGACATAAGACAGAGCAGAAAACAGAGTAACATGAGTCTTTAAAATAACAAAGTGTTGATTATTTCTTCTTTAAACGAGTCTCAGATCTCAGCAGCGTCCGTTTAGTGTCCGTTTAGTTCCGTTTAGTGTCCGTTTAGTGTCCGTTTAGTGTCCGTTTAGTGTCACGTCGACCTTTAAGCGTCTCTTTGTGACCGACGGCGGAGGCCACACAGGCGCAGAGACACGCGGTGGAGACGAGCGGCCGAAACCCAAGAGCCCGTCTCCTTTATCTCATTAAGTGCCGAATATAAAGTCAAAATGTTGTTTACGGCGGGGGGCGGGGTCACGTGTGCGGCGGCGCGCCCGATAAGCCGGCGTGTCGCGTTCTCAGCAGCCCGCGCCGTAACCCGAGCGCCGCCCGATCGTTCACGCCCGAGCGGGGGCCCCGGTCGTTCACACCCCGGGGAGGACGCGGGCGAATAAACCCGGGCCCCAGAGCGAACACCTGCTGCCCCCCGACAGAGCTGCACCAACACTCAGACGGAGAGAGAGAGAAAGAGAGAAAGAATAACTTCTACACATGGCTCAGAGAGAAGGAGGGAGGGAGGAAAGGAAAAGGAGGGAGGAGAGAGGGAGAGAAGAGAGGGAAGGAGAAGGAGAGAAGAGAAAGATAACTTCTACACATGGCACAGAGAGAGAAGGAGAGGAGGAGGGAGGGAGGAAAGAGAAAAGGAGAGGGAGTAGGGAGAGAAGGAGGGAGAAAAGAGAAAGAATAACTTCTACACATGGCACAGAGAGAAGGAGGGAGGGAAGGAAAGGAAAAAGGAGGGACGGAGAGAGGGAGAGAGGGAAGGAGAAGGAGAGAAGAGAAAGAATAACTTCTACACATGGCACAGAGAGAGAAGGAGAGGAGAAGGGAGGGAGGAAAGAGAAAAGGAGAGGGAGTAAGGGGAGAAGGAGGGAGAGGAAAGAGAGAGAGAGAGAGAGAAAGACAGAAGGGAGAGAATGCGGGAGAGAGGAAAGCGAGAAGGAGAGGGAGGAAGAGAAGGAGCGAGAGGGAGACGGAGAGGGAGGAAGAAGGAGAAAAGGAGGGAGAGAGGGAAGAGAGAGAGAGGGAGAAAGACAGAAAAAGAAAAGGAGGGAGAGAGGACAAGAGCAGAAGGAGAGAGAAGGTGGGAGAGAGGAAAGAGAAATAGAGAAGGAGGGAAATAGGAAAGAGAGACAGGGAGAGGAAAGAGAGGGAAGGAGGGAAAAGGAGAGGAGAGGAAGGAGAGAAAGAGAGAAGGAGATAGAGAGGGAGAAGGAGGGAGAGGGAGAGAAGAAGGGAGAAGGAGAGAGAGAGAGGAAAGAGAGAGGGAGAAGGAGGGAGAGAGGAAAGAAAGAAAGAGAGAGAGGAGAGAAAGAGGGAGGGAGAAGGAGGGAGAGAGGAAAGACAGGGAGAAGGGCAGAAGGAGAGAAGGAGGGAGAGAGAAAAGAGAAGGAAGGAGAAGGAGGGAGAGGGGGGAGAGAAGGAGAGAAGGCGGAGTAGGGAGGAGAGAAGAAAGAATGAAAAACAGAAACAAGGCAAAGAATGTGAGAGAGAGGGAGGGAGGGAGGGAGGGAGAAAAGGAAGGAGAGGAAGAGGGAGGGAGAGAGGAAAGAGAGAAAGAGAGAGTGAGGGTCTGGAGCTTCCTGTTGTGAATCGCGGAGGAAAGAGGAGTGCAGGAGTGTGTGGACGGAGATTCAGCACAATGTGAGGACTGAGATGTTGACCATTTGACTGAAAAAAAAAATACAAAAATAATAATAAAAAATACAAAAAATACAAAATTATAAAAAAAAAAAACAGAAAAAAAAAAATACAAAAAAATACAAAAAAATAAAAAAATAAAAAAATACAAAAAAAAAAAAATACAAAATTACAAAAAATAAAAAAAAATACAAAAAAAAAAAAAAATACAAAAATACAAAAAATACAAAAATATAAAAAATACAAAAAATACAAAAATAAAAAATACAAAAATACAAAAATAATACAAAAAAAGAAAATATAAAAATTTTGCGCTCTGGACGTTCTGGACGCTCTGGACGCTGCACCGTGTGAGTGTGGTACTGTACAGTTTATCCCATTAGAATCATGATTATAGTTATTACACAAATCGATCTGAACAATGGACTCAACCAGATAATTTCACTGCAGCTCGTGAACCTGGACACTGTGCACAACCTGTGGTTCAGTCCTGGTTCAGTCCTGGTTCAGTCCTGTTTTAGTCCTGTTTTAGTCCCAGTTTAGTCCTGTTTTAGACCTGGTTTAGTCCTGTTTTAGTCCTGTTTTAGTCTTGTTTTAGTCTTGTTTTAGTCCTGTTTTAGTCCTGGTTTAGTCCTGGTTCAGTCCTGTTTTTAGTGCTGGTTCAGTCCTTTTTAGTCCTGGTTCAGTCCTGTTTTAGTCCTGGTTCAGTCCTGTTTTAGTCTGTTTTAGTCTTGTTTTAGTCCTGGTTTTAGTCCTGGTTTAGTCCTGTTTTAGTCTTGTTTTTAGTCTTGTTTTAGTCCTGTTTTTTAGTCCTGTTTTAGTCTTGTTTTAGTCTTGTTTTAGTCTGTTTTAGTTTTTTAGTCCTGTTTTAAGTCTTGTTTTAGTCCTGTTTTTAGTCCTGGTTTAGTCCTGGTTTAGTCCTGGTTTCAGTCCTGTTTTTAGTCTGGTTTTAGTCCTGTTTTAGTCTTCTGTTTTAGTCTGTTTTTAGTCTTGTTTTTAGTCCTGGTTTTAGTCCTGTTTTAGTTTTTAGTCCTGTTTTAGTCCTGTTTGTT